AAGAAATTGCGATTGTGATAAATAAATTACGTATGACTAAATCTTAAATTATCCATTGACATAAGTAATAACGAGATACGAATATCATTTTTATGGATAGACTAGAAGATGTAGCATTTCTTACTTATGAAGTGAGCAGTTAATCTCAAAATCTAAAATTTGTGACATTTAAATTGACATGTAGATATTTTGTTATAAGAACAAAACATTGGAGACCCAATGGAGAGATTCCACATGAATAAATATCTAAACATCAATGGCTAATCTATAACGTTCGATAGTGGAATTGACCATTCGATTTGACGTTATCATATAGCCTTATAGAGGATAGTCATACTTTCGTGATACTGGATGTTGCTTTGTCTAGAGTTGCTGCCACAACATTGTTCGGATATGTCAAGAATTATATAATGTATGAATGATTAATAGAGAATTCGTCACTCTTGGATAGTAAGATATTATGATATACGTTTCATTTAGTTAAATTGATAACGAAATCCTTGACCAATGTAATTCAAAAATAATTTTCAGACTAATATTGATTTAAAAGTTGGACAACAGACATGATTGACAATCAATATTGATATATATTCATATCTTATAATTGATCGAAAGAAGGGATTTAGTTTCACGGTAAATGAAAAAATTTGGTTTTGTCATACCACGTGATACTTTCCGTCGCATGTATTGCCCTGACACATTGCTAGATGTTAATATGGGACGATGAACGTAAATTAATTAATCTAGCTAGGTAAATTAATGATAAATTAAAAAGGGTATTTTAATTTATCATATTTTGATTAGATTAAAATAATAGTTTATGTTATTGATATCGTGATTTGGTATCTAATGAGTTATACACAAAAACAAGAACTAGAAGAACATTTTTACTAATTAATTAATCGACAATTGTTGAACATTTGTAAAATTAATTAATTGGGTTGTTGTTTAATTGACCCAAGTTAGTTAATTAGATTAATTAACTTATGGGTCAAACTTAATTAATTAGATTAACTAAATATTGGACCGACACATTTAATGGGGGGAAAATTACATAGATCAGGTCTTTAAACTTCAAAGTGCAAAAATCAGGTGTGAAAATTTTTTAATCAAAATTTAGGTAATTAAATATTATACCACCCAAACCCTAATTTCATTTCATCCTCCTCCCTTTTCCCTCCTTCCATTCTCTCCCTCGTCTTTCTCTGCCTACTGTGTAGCAACTCCTCCTCATTCTCCTCTCCCTCTCTCCCTCGTCTCTGCTGTGAATGGCGCGACGCTGCCGTTCACCTTTCACTTTCTCTCACTTTCTCTCAACCCACAAACAAACTTCCTTTTCTCTAGAATATGCTCTTCCAACTCATACTCAAATATGCTCCAAAAACTGAAAGATTATTTCCCCATTGACTGTACGTAAATTACCTGGCTAGCTTCACCTGTGCTGGATTGTTTCTCCCATCAAACATTCCATGACATAATAGTAGGCCGGCGAAAATCTCAGCTTTTAACACAACTGTCATTACAATGACTATTTCCACGTAGAGGCCAATTAGGCTTCTTCGAGTAACAAGAGATCCATTCACCTCCATCCTGTGCATAATAGTCCATAGGATAATCCACACCCATATCTCCTCTCTCTTGCACGCCTTCATATTTACAACAATCTTCACTCTTTGTGCACTTCAATTTCCTCTCCCACCACACTGGTATATCCCCAAGAGCAATCTCAGCTTCAAAGGATGTCAATCATGGCTTCTTAAATGCATCACCCCAGTCAATGGATAACCTGGGGCATGCAATCTGAACCCAAGCATCCACTGCATCTCCAAATAGCTCAATATTTTTAGGTGTCAATTCAGAAATCAAAACAACCATATAATCCAAATTCTTTTCCTTCATCTTCTTTTCTAGCCTCTCCAATACCGGTGGCGGCGGACCACCTGGTCTAGGCTTGCCCTCACATGGCGCACCTAGCCCAACCATGGGTCTTGACCAATTGAGCCTGAAACATGACCAATTCTATAATTTGTGACCAACTATTTTGTTATCTGTGACCTAAAAATTATATAATCTGTGACCGTGAAAAAATTTATGACCAATTAATTTGGAAATCTGTGATTGTGTGACCTATAAATTTTGATCTGTGACCAACTAATTTGGAAAATCCGTGACCTGCAAAAAAACTGTGACCGAAAATTAATTTTTAACTAATTAATATTAATTAATTAATAAATACCTGATTTTTGCAAGTTGACAAAGTTAATAACTGATTTGTGAACTCTTCCCTTTAATGGGTGGGTCAAGCCCACTTAAGATTATATTAATTAGTTGTTAGGGTTTGAGAAAAATATAGATATTTAGAATCTTGTAAGCACAAGAAGAGAAAAATAATAATCTCTCATTCTTGTTCCCTTTTGTGGATTACCATTAGAAACTGGATAATGAGACAATTATGATGTGTGAGATCGTTATTATTCATGTTCCAAAATTATCAAAAAAGTTTGCAAAATTTATTAAAGGTATAATTTTAATCTCAGTTTCTATCTAAACACAAAAAATTCTTGATGATAATTGAAATTATTTCAAATTTCGTTGTACATGTATTAAGTAAATTCGCAACAAGTCGGCCTTTACCAAGATACTCGAAATACAGTTTTGTTTTTGAAAAACTAGTTTGAGACCTCCCATGCAAATTTCTCAATATTTTGATTTTCTAACTTGGTTGAATTAGAATGCACAGCGCAAAATTCAAGTGGTTAATTAGGATGCTGAAGTATAAAAGTGTCTGCCACTATTACCTAAAAGCAATTATATAACACAAGTGTCAAAAAAAATATTTGATTGCCTTGAACACATTTAAGTGACATGTTCATCCTAAACCTTAAAAATCAACTATCGTCGTTGAATATCAATAGAAGTACGGATAGTAGCCAAAACATCTCCAAGATTAGTAGAATGTCTCGATCTTCTTTCATGTCCAACACAATTAAATTAATTGAAACAATAAATTTGTCCACTTTAACGATAACGTCATCTATAATTCTTGGAGGGTTTTTAATTGATTTGAGAGGTGCTAGCTACTTTAATGTGGAGAGAAGAAATAGTAGTAAGATGCAGCCTGACGTTTGAGTGAAATAGTTATTGCAAGTTAGAGGTGAGAAAAATAATAAAAATATGTACTTTTTTTATGTGAGTATGTAAGGAGTGACAATATTGAAAAGCACTGCACTTTTTGGTTTAAGTTTGGGATCTAGATTTCTAGTGAGGTTGCTTATCCTAGTTGAAGCTTGTACATTGAGAAATTCAAAATCTAGAAAGAATCATCACATATCAAATAGTTACTTTCATTGGTTAGACTTAATCAAAACTTGAGAGGAAAATAAACGAGTGCATTGCAAAAGCAACTTAAGTATAAGCACCATGGAGGAGAGATTAAGTTTGGGAGTATACATCTTGCAGGAGAGAGAGAAAATGACAGACCATTGAGAGTTAGGATATAACCAATCTAAAATTTTATAGTGAATGAATTGATTATTTTCACACATATCGATCAAGCATTGGATAAGTAAAAATTATTTTGATAACGTTACTTAGAAGAACTTTATAAATTTTTCAAGATATTTCAAAAATGTTAGAAAAGATGGTATGTTATCCAGTGTATTGATTTTTATTTTACTCAGGACGAACAAGACTTTAAATTTGGAGGTATTTGATTAACGTGTTTTACACAGTTATTCATTCTATTAGACTTGATAAACTATTTCCAATTAAGCAGATTTGTACCTAATTTAGTATAACTTTTAAATTATTAGAAAATACCAGATTTACATGTAATTGGCAAAAAAAAAGACAATTTTAAGCTAATTTGAAGTTAGTTCAGAACAATTAAAGTTAAGTCAAATTGCTCGAGAGTGATAAGAAGTATTAATAGAGAAACTGAAGGAAATCACAAGTTTTGGGAGCTAAATTGAACACTTGAAAAGTTTAAGAAATAATTTGTAAACTTGCAGAGGACCAATATCAAAACTTTTGAAAGTTGTGGCATCAAAGTTGAAGATTTGGACGAAAAAGGCCCAAATCCGGACAAAAAATTTAAAAGAAGGATCAAACTCATATGAATCTGAAAATTGGGGCTAAATCACAACAATATGAAAGTTGAGGGATGTAACTTGGACGTGTTGAAGAGGAAGAGAAAAAGTTAAACCCTTGCGATCACAATGTTTGAACCTTGTGACATCAAGAAAGGATATGGCAAGCAACCTCATGTTTTGAGTTTGAACCAAGCAATTACAAGACTTTGAACCATGCGATCACAAGGTATCATAAGGCAAGCCAGAGACTTCTATATGGAATGAGGATTTAACACGAATTTTACCTTAATCATGGGATTATAAAATGGAGATTTCTCTAGCATTCAGAGAGAGAAAGCTTTGATTCACAAATGCAAAAACTTCCAAAAATTCAAATTGTAAATACTAAATTCTAGTTAATTAAACAATTTGTCTTAATTATTCGATTTAGACAATGTATGCCTGTCAGTTAGACTATGTGATAAGTGTAATTTTTACACTTATTCGGGACCTAAAATAACGATATTTGATAATTCTTTTGATAAAATATATTCTAAAATGTTGCATTTTATGTTTAATAGGTGAAACTCTATGGATGAAAAAGAATTGAAGAAAGGAAGCAAAATGTGGAGAAAAATGACAAAATCCAATGTACAAGGACCAACTTGCATTATATGGAAAAATGAAGGACTTAGAAGCAAGCATTAATTTAATTCAGCAATGGATTTAATTGGGCCTCAATTTGGATGGACTTTTGTTTGGTTAAATAAATGGGAAAATTAGACCCACTACCTCTAAAAAATAACTAATTTAAATAATACCCTATAAACTAATTAAATAACTTAATCACGTAATTAATACTTTCTAAACTATTAGTCGTGATCCACCACCTTCTCTGCAAATCCGCTGCCACATGATTTATCTTGAATTATGGAGGGAGTGGGAGCTAGGCTAGGGCGGTCCTCAACTCGATACAGTCCCACCACCGTTTTCACCAGACCCGTCCGAAAGTGGAAGAAGAAGTGGATCCACATAACGCCGTCCAGTTCCAATCAAACGGAAGCTAATGGAAAAGTTAACGGCGTTAATAGCTCTTCACATCTCTTGTTGTACAAATGGACACCGATCACTCCCAACCAAAACAAAGAGAATAATGGAAATGACGGGAACAATGAATCGAAGAACTACAGTAAAGACGATAATGATTCGGTGGAAGAGCCGCCTAAGCGTAAATTTAAGTACATTCCGATTGCTGTGCTGGAAGAACAAGCGAACGAGTCCTCAGATCAGTTCAAGGATGAAGCTAAGCCAATTGAAACTGAGATAAATACAGTGGAGACAACCTCCAAGAGTGATGGGCATGATGAAAAGCCTGATATCAATGATATACCAATGGATGATACTCGGGCCTCAGAGGAAAATCCTGTAGAACGTAGAGTTCTGAATGAAACCCCATTGGACTTGAGTTTAGTCTTGAAGGCTAGTGATGTTGAAAATGAATCCAACTCAAAAACAGTTTGATCAAGACAGATGGAGATAGACAAACTCCAGAAATATTGGGACGATATAGTTTGAAGCAAAAGAAGAGTTGGATGCTATTCTATCCTCATAGAAAACACTGTTCTCCATTGGCTAATCGCTCTACTCGAATAAACGAGTAAATGCGAGCAGCGTAGCCCATATTTTTAATTTGATCTGATTCTTCATTTATTGAGTTGATTGCAATTTGTATCAATTCTGCGTCCATAGAGCTGCAATCAATATTTTTTATACTTTGGTACAATTTAATTTGACAGAATGTATTTGGATTTTTGCACTGACCATTGTTGAATGCAATTTACACCATACTCATTTGGCCTATCAAAAAAATCTGGTACTCACGTTCTTCTTGCGAATATTTATGCCACAGCAAGATCATGGGAAAATGTTGCAAAATTTAGAAGACTGATGAAAAACAGTAAAGTGAATAAGGAACCAGGTATGAGTTGGATAAAGGTAAAAGACAAAATATACACGTTTATAGTTTGAGATAGAAGCCATTCTAGAAGTGAAGAGATATATGCAAAACTTGGGGAGTTGGGCCTCTTAATGGCCAAAGATGGATATGTTCCTATGATAGATATTAACCTCCATGATGTGGGAAAGGGAGAAAAGGAACTTCTTCTCTCGTACCACAGTGAAAAACTTGCAGTAGCTTTTGCACTGATGTCAACCCCACTCGTCAATTTTATAAAAGTGACATTGTGTCACTTTTTTTTAGGTTTTTGTCACCTTTTAAGTTTTTTTTTTTTCACTTTTTAAGAAAATAAAAAAAAAGTGAAATAACATATTATATTTTCCTAACATAATCAGGATGTGGATTGGTCGGACGTGCTGATTATTTTAAGAACATGATTACTGGTGTTGCACAAATGGATGATGCTATTTTGATATTTGTCACTTTTTTTGAGTTTGTCACTTGTTGAGAGTGTCACTTTTTTTTTTTAGTTTGTGTCACTTTTTTTTTAAAATGTAAAAAAGTGATATTGTGACTTTTTCATTTTACACAGTGTTTTTTACTTCTTAAAAACCTTTCATATGATTTTTCAAAACATCCCTAATTTTAAGGATATTTTTGTAAGTACCCCTAAATAAATTACGTTTTATTTATAATATATATATATAAAAAACTGCGCAGCCGGGAGAGAGAATTCGGCAACCAGTGAAGAGAAGAAAAACGGCGACTGTTTTGGAAAAAATAAAAAGGGTTGCTGGCTACCATTCGTTATATATTCTCGCAGAAAAAGAAAAGAGAGGAAGCCAAAACTAGCA